CTTAATCGTAAAATTTTTAAAAGTGAGGGACTAAAAAGAAAGGAAATTAGGATAAGGATGAATTGCTTTTTCTTTTTCTTTTTCCTTTCTTTTCTTCCTCACCAGCCGCGTGTTTCTGCTTCTGCTTCTCCCTGATGCTCTGCCCCCCGACCCTCTACACCCGAGAAGCCCCCCAACTACCGCCACCCATTTTTCGGCCGGAAATCCGGCAAAGCTTGGGGATTTCTCCCTATTTTCTTGTCTTAGAACACCTGTTGAACCCAGAAAATCCCAGATCTGCGTCTTCCTCCCTCTGCTATCCGTCGGCTTCAACTTGTGGGTTTGAAATTTCTGGGCATTTTTCGGTAAGAACAGCCCTGAATCTCCCTTTTTCAGCTTGATTTAGGCTGGGTTTAGTTTAATTGCTTTTGTTTCCTTCCAATTTTTGAGTAGCCGCGAGTTCCCCTGCAGAATTTCTTCTTCTCTGCCGCCGGCTTCTCCCCCTTGCTAGGTTCAGTTTTGCTTGCTGAATTCCGGTATGGACAACTTCCTTTGAGTCTGATTTCACCTATTTAGCTGTTGTTTGAATTTTTCTTGTGCTGTCCGAAAAATTGCCGGAAATGGGGATGAATTCCGGTAGCATGTGGCAGTAAATTAAATGTGTTTTGTGCTTGGTTTATGTAGAATTAGCTTAATTTGATTGTTGTGAGGTTAATTGTGTGAAACCCCCGTGAATTAGCTATGTTTTGCCAATTTGGGAGTTGAAGTTACTGTTCACGATCACTGGGTACTGTTCATAGGCACTGTTCACACACCGAGGGTCAACGATTAACGAGGATTTAAAGGATTAGTTTGTGATATAAGAATAAGTTTGGAGATGTCCGGTTATGTGGAGATTGATAGAAATAGCATCGAGATTAGGGGTAGTCCCGATGATGATTTTACTTTGAATTTATGGTGGTATGGTTATTAATTGTGGAATATTGTGATTAGGTTTTGATCGTTCTGTCACCGTAGCATTTGGGTTAGCCTTCTGTTTTGTGCGAGTGAGGTAAGTAAATTATGGTAAAGCCCTTCGATTTTAAAGCATGATTTAAACTGTTTTTGAGATGGTGGCAAGGTTTAAATTGATTTTTAATTGATTTTATCCGCATCTGAGTGTGATTAAACTAAAATGAGAATTTTGATGATTTTCATGAAAATTATTGTTTTCTAGAAGTGAGCATGATTGAAATGAAAAAGTGAGAATTTCATTGTTTTTCTGGAGTTATTGTGCCGAGCATGATTGGTTTGAAATTGAGTGGAGCATGCCTATTTGGAACTGACTGAATTGTTTTGATTAACTGAGAGTTTTGTAAATTATGATTTTCTGTTAAATCCATGCCCACATGGAATTTTCCAGTTATTTCTGAAATTATGGATTTCGATCGTGAATTTGGGATTTTGATTGTGAATTACGGATTTTGATTGTGAATTACGGATTTTGATTGTGAATCCTGCATGGTTTTGTCTCTGATATAGTCATGATTTTCGATCCCCGCTAGTGGGTGTGTAGCACATCCGATCCCCGCTAGTGGGTATAACGCTAGCACTTCCGATCCCCGCTAGTGGGTGTAATGCTAGCACATGTCGACATGTCTACTGATATGACCGGTACATTCCGACGCCTCCCAATGGGCGAACACATTGGCAAATTTCTGTCGTCTACCAGTGGGTTGTTATAACACTGGCCATGACTTATAGATGAGACTACTGAACTGAATTTGATTTCCGCATTAACGGTTTATCAGTGAAAGTTCTGTTATACTTACATGGTTTATCTGGCATGTTAAAAGTTTTACCCAAGGGCTATCCATATTTACTTACTGAGTTATCTCATAGTTTTCCTTGTCCACCATTTCAGGAAGCAAAACCGAGGACGGGGAAACCAAGGGGGAGTGACGAATTAGAAGGCTAGCCACCTGGAATTTGATATAGATTTTAGACACAGATTATGATCTTGTAAGCTGGATTGTAGTTGGAGGTTTATAGCTTCATTTAATGGATTGTTAGTTTATAAGAGATTTGATCTGGAGATTTGAGTTATTGGATTGTCAAATGTGATTTGGATAAGTTCCGAGCCTTGTGCATTCGTGGGACTCGATCACGAGTGCACGGCGTCTGTCGCGTCTCCGAATTTGGGTTCTGGGGCGTGATAGTTTGTGTGGCTATTGATTAGGGGGAGAGTTCTCACAAATTCTGTATGCTTTGCTCGGCACATAGTAGCTTCTCCAACCTGTCCGAGATGTGAGTCATCCATTGAAACTCCTCTCCATCTATTACGTGACTGTTATTTTGCTAAGGTGGTTTGGGGATGTTTGGGGTTTACCACTTCAGAGTTTTTTACTTTGGATTACATAACATGGCTAAAGAAAATGTATAGGCCTCCAAGCTCTAATGCTCAGGATACCTTGCCTAGAAACACTTTGTTTCTCTCGACGATATGGCATCTTTGGAAGGCTAGGAATGCACTTATCTTCATATCGTTTGTCTCTCGACCTCAGGACCTATGTTCCACTATTGTACAGCATGCTCAGTACACACAACTAGCCATGTGTCCTCTGCATTCCCATCCTAAACTTCCCCGCTGGGTTCGTTAGGTACCACCAGAAGAGGGTGTCTTTAAGTTAAACACAGATGGTTCTTATAACCATGAAATGGCTTCTACAAGTGCCGATGGTCTGATCAGAGACACAACAGGACGTTGGATTTCAGGCTTTATTGTCAATATAGGCAGTGCGTCAGTTCTTCTAGCAGAATTGTGGGGATTAAGAGAAGGGCTTCGCCTTTGCAGAGCCATGGATCTCACCCATGTGGTAGCTGAAATGGATTCTATGATTGCTGTCCGATTCATCAATGAAGGCCGGGATCTAGAAAATTTAACTACCAATTTGTTACTTGATATACGAAATTTGATGGTTGAGTTTGAGGTTTGCACTTTACAGCACACATTACGTGAAGGTAACTCTGCAGCTGACTTTTTGGCTGCTTTGGGACACTCATCTCCACCAGGCACCACCATTTTGGACTCTCCACCAGCAGGACTACACTCTATCCTGATAGGGGATTCTATGGGGGCTAGTTTCCTCCGTTACTAGTTTTTTCTTTAGTGTTATTTTCTTAGTTACTCACTGGTGTACCAAAAAAAAGAGTATAGTGATGCGCCAAAACTATTCTTATTCTCTCATGATAATGATTGGAATTGGGATTATACCATGTACCAAACCCATATTTTTTTTTTTAATTTTGGTTGTATAAGGAAAGGTAATTATCTCTCATCCCTTATTTCACCCCATTCGTATGTCATGCGACTTGAATTTAGAATTTTTTATTTTCAACGAAAGAAAATGACCATTAAATTAGTTAGATCTTTGATACCAAATTCATATTTAATTTACACGCAATATAAAATTCCATGACAAAAACATAGCCGGGGGATCCTAAGAATATAGGAGAGGTAGACAAAAAAAAAAAATGGTGTTATATATATAATTATTTATTCCCTTGCATCTTATATAAGTGTGTTGGATAAATTTCTTTAAAAATTATTTAAAAAGTATTATTTTTTTATAAATTTAAAATTTCATTTGAGAAAAATATTTAAAATTAAAATTTTAAGTAAATTTTAAACAAGTTTTAAAAAAATATCTATAGTTTAAATTTTTTTTAAAACTTGTTTAAAATTCATTTTAAAAGATAATTTTAAAATTTTTTCCTGATAAAATTTTAAATTTTGTAAGAAATAATTAATATTTTTAGAATAAGGTTAAATGCTAAATTTGGTCCCTCAACTTTATTGAGTTGCACTTTTTTGATCCCTTAACAATTTTTTGCACTTTTTTGATCTCTCAACTCTAAGAAATACACAACGTTAGACCTTCCATCTATTTGAACGTTAACTCTACCTATGTGGCATTTTTTCTATTTTTTTTTATGATATGGATAATCCAACTGAAAAAAAAAATGATAACATGGATTGTCTAACTAAAAAAAATGATGACATGGAGATAAATTTTTATATTTTTAATAAAAAAATAAAAAAAACCTCTCCACCTGTTTTCATCCCCCTTTTTCTTTCTCTTTCTTCTTCCTCGTCCTGCTGCCTCCTCTGCTGTCCAAACCCTACCAAACTAGGATCCTCCCCCCTCTTTCTCTTCTTCTCCCTCTTGCTTTCTCTTTCTTCCTCCTCCTGCTGTGACCTGCCAAACCTTTTTCACCCTCTTTCTTTCTTCCTCCTCCGGCTACTAGGTTCATTTGAACCCAGAACGCTAGGTTCGTTTGAACCCAATTCTGGGTTCCGTTGAACCCAGATAGCTGGGTTTTACAGAACCCAGATTTGGGTTCAACGGAACCCAGTAACAAACCCAGCAACATAAGTTCAAGTAACTTGAATTTTTGGGTTTTCAAACCCATGTTTATAGATTTTTTTTGTTTAGTAACTCTAGCAATTTCTATGCATATATTGAACCCTTTTATTTGATGGATTTTTGTTTCAAATATTGTGGTTGTGGGATGGTAATTTAGTATTATGAATGCTGCAAAATTTTGTTTGTATGTTTTGATTTGACTATTTTTCTTATGAGTATATGATCATTAAGCTGGATTGATGTAGTATGAATTTTTAAGGTTTTGATTTTGTTTTGAGAAAGCAAGAGGGGAACAAGAGAAAGAGGGGGGAGAAGGTTTGGTGGATCCTAGCTTTGCTAGGTTCAATCAGCAAAGGAGGCAGCAACAAGAGGAGGAAGAAAGAGAAAGAGGGAGGAGGAAAAAGATCGAAGAGGTTTTCTTATTTTTTTATTAAAAATATAAAAATTTATGTTCATGTCATCATTTTTTTTAGTTGGATAATCCATGTCATTATTTTTTTTCAATTGAACTATCCATATCATCAAAAAAATATAAAAAATGCCACATGGGCAGAGTTAACAGCTCAAATTGACGGGAGGACTAACGTTATGCGTTTCTTAGAGTTTAGGGATCAAAAAAGTGCAAAAAATTATTGAGGGACCAAAAATGTGCAATTCATAAAGTTAAGAGACCAAAATTAACATTTAACCTTAAAATAAATACCTTTTAAATTTTACCGACAACCTTCTATACGGACTTGAACTTATCAGCCAAACTGGATCCCACAGAAAGGTCAAAAACTCAAAATCAAAACCAATCAGACGGCATGATAAATTTATTTAAAAAGAAAACTGTTGTATGATTTAAATTATACAAACAAAGTTTTTTAAATTAAATGTGAACCATTTAATATGGAGTGACCTCTCCCATCCAACAGTTTTTATTATCAATTTAGTACAACCTATACGGTAAGATAAGATACCATTATTTGAA